TCACGCAAAGACTTATCAAAGGATTCCGTCCTCATGTCAAGTGGCAGATCCAGGACTCTCACCCACATCTCCATTGTATCAAAAACCATCTCCGAAGGGCAGACATCCCCCACATATTCCTTCAACACAAGCACATGGAAATCAAACTGCCATGGACCATTGTTCAATGCATGTTGCCAGTCCCCTTCACAGCCAAATCTCACCTCAAATATGTTGTTGCCAATATCCTTGAATTTTGCCTCCTTGTGAAGTCCCCATGCCCGTGGCATTGCTCTTTCCATACCATGCTTCTTGAGAGGTCTCGGTGAGAACACCTTCCCCACCGCCGACCACTTCACCGTCTTCGCTTGGAGCCCTGGATCTGAGAAGATAAACCCTTGCCTCTCCTTGTCCGTCAGAACCAGCCCTCCAAAACTCTCAGAGAGGCTAGCGGCCTCCGCGGTGGTCTTGCCATCCGCTGGGGAAACGGAAGCACCCCGGCTCGTTCAGCCCCCTGCCGCAGCTGCCACATTTGCCGCCACCGCGTCCTTCCGGGGAGTTGCCTTTAGGCTCGACGTTGCCTCCCCCCCCCCCTGCCTGCTTTCTCCGCCATGGAAACGCCACGCGGGAGCTCCTGAAGCCTTCGCCGATCGACTACTAGAGCAGCGTCGTCGCCGCTCAGGAAGTCACCGGAGATCCAAACTCACCCCCGCACACAGAAATCCTAACCCTAGTGGCGGCCTAGCAATTGCCTCGCGATCACCTTCCCCATCACCCGTAGAAGTTTCCTGAGGTGGTGGGCCCTCTCATTGATTGCTACATTGACTGATGAATCTTTGGACAAATCTGCTCATGGACATCTCATACTGGAAATCAAGAAGCTCCTGGAGACGCGTCGTTTTTATTCCGCAGAAAAATAGATCGTAATCAAAATAGTGTTGCTCATTGTCTAGCTAATATAGGTCGTACTGGCGGTAGCACCGCGTGTTGGTTGCACCGAGTTCTAAACAGTGTTTCAAGCTTTGTATTAGCGGACTGTAACACTATACAAGAGGAGTAAAATACCCGTTTGCCCCGCAAAAAAAAAAGAGGCATCCTTCCCAACGAACGTTCGCCAGCTAAGTGGGTCGTAATGTTTGTACTTTTGTTTGAGTTGAGGCCGGAAGCTTTTCGTTGAGATTTTTCTCTTGGTTGGGTGGTGTGGATCTTGCAGCTAGCTAAGTAGTGCAGATAAGACCTCAAACAGGAATCATCTGGTACGACTTACGAGCTCGCTAGCTAGCCAGCTAGGATAACTAGAACCGGGACGGA